TCAGAACCAGGTTAACAGGATTATCAGAACCAGTTTAACAGGTTTATCAGAACCAGGTTTAACAGAACCAGGTTAACAGGTTTATCAGAACCAGGTTTAACAGGATTATCAGAACCAGGTTAACAGGTTTATCAGAACCAGGTTTAACAGAACCAGGTTAACAGGTTTATCAGAACCAGGTTAACAGGATTATCAGAACCAGGTTAACAGGTTTATCAGAACCAGGTTTAACAGAACCAGTTTAACAGGTTTATCAGAACCAGGTTTATCAGAACCAGGTTAACAGAATTACCAGAACCAGGTTAACAGAATTACCAGAACCAGGTTAACAGGATTACCAGAACCAGGTTAACAGGATTATCAGAACCAGGTTAACAGGATTATCAGAATCAGGTTAACAGGTTTATCAGAACCAGGTTAACAGGATTATCAGAACCAGGTTAACAGAATTATCAGAACCAGGTTAACAGAATTACCAGAACCAGGTTAACAGAATTACCAGAACCAGGTTAACAGGATTACCAGAACCAGGTTAACAGAATTACCAGAACCAGGTTAACAGGATTACCAGAACCAGGTTAACAGGATTACCAGAACCAGGTTAACAGGATTACCAGAACCAGGTTAACAGGATTATCAGAACCAGGTTAACAGACTTCCTGTTGTCTTTAGAGACAGAGATGCTGCAGCTGATTTATTGATATTTGATGTTTCTGCAGAAATCTCAAGTTTCTTTGGTCAAATGTTCAAACCAACATTTCTGCTGAGGTTTCCTGTTCCTTGTTTTTCTCTCAGCTTCACCACATGATCTTGTTGTTCTGCCCATTCTGTTAAAAACCTGTCCAGAGACAGAGACGTGTCTCACAGAGACGTGTCTCACAGCGTCTCCACCTACCGTTCAGTAGGTGGACGGTGGTGTCCAGGTTGACGTCTGGGCGGCCATTGTTACTGAAGTATCGAGAAATCTGTGGCTCAGTTCCTCTGAAGGTGGTGCTGGTGGCGGTGAAAAGCTCCCCGTCTGCAGACCAAGAGACAGAGGACATTTTTACTTTTAACGTCACGTTCAGGTCCTCCAAGGTCCAACAAGCTCAGGACCAGATTCTGGATCAGGAGCTGAAAAACCCTGGAACACAAAAACCTTTGACTTCAGACTGACCAATGGTGAGCGCAGAGCTCCTGTCCATGGGACTGAAGGGACAACGACCTTTAGCTCCATCCTGATGGACAACTGAGAGACTCTCTGTGTCCTGAAGAGACAAACAGAAGCTTCAGAGGACAAACATTAGACACACGTCCTGATGGACCTCAGACTCTGAGGACTTACGATGAACACCTGCTGGGGGTTGAAGGCGTAGCTGCCACAGGCGTAGAGGTGGGAGGAGTTTAGAAGCTGAAGCACGTGGACAAAGTTTGGACAGTCCACCTGAGGGACAGATAGAAAAGACAGATCAGTGCTGCTCGTTTCAACAGGGGAGAAATATTCTGCATGTCCTGCAGAAAGCTTCGATCTTTGATCTACATCAGAACCAGGTTTATCAGAACCAGGCTTATCAGAACCAGGCTTATCAGAACCAGGTTTAACAGAACCAGGTTTAACAGAACCAGGCCTATCAGAACCAGGTTTATCAGATCTAGGTTTATCAGAACCAGGTTTAACAGAACCAGGTTTAACAGAACCAGGTTTAACTAAAACAGATTTAACAGGTCCAGGTTTACCAGAACTAAGTTTAACAAAACCAGGTTTATTACAACCAGGTTTATCAGAACCAGGTTTATCAGAACCAGATTTATTACAACCAGGTTTATCAGATCTAGGTTTATCAGAACCAGGTTTAACAAAACCAGGTTTATCAGATCTAGGTTTATCAGAACCGGGTTTATTACAACCAGGTTTATCAGATCTACGTTTATCAGAACCAGGATTAACAAAATCAGGTTTATTACAACCAGGTTTATCAGAACAAGGTTTAACAGGTCCAGGTTTACCAGAACTAGGTTTAACAAAACCAGGCTTATTACAACCAGGTTTATCAGATCTAGGTTAATCAGATCCAGGTTTATCAGAACCAACTTTAACAAAACCAGGTTTATTACAACCAGGTTTATCAGAACCAGGTTTATCAGTTCCAGGTTTATCAGAACAAGGTTTAACAAAACCAGATTTAACAGATCCAGATTTATTACAACCAGGTTTATCAAATCTAGGTTTATAAGATCCAGGTTTAACAGGTCCAGGTTTACCAGAACTAGGTTTAACAAAACCAGGTTTATTACAACCATGTTTATCAGAACCAGGTTTATCAGTTCTAGGTTTAACAAAACCAGGTTTTTTACAACCAGGTTTATCAGAACCAAGTTTAACAGAACCAGATTTATCAGTTCCAGGTTTATCAGAACCAGGTTTAACAAAACCAGGTTTATTACAACCAGGTTTATCAGAACCAGGTTTATCAGTTCCAGGTTTATCAGAACCAGGTTTATCAGAACCAGGTTTAACAAAACCAGGTTTATTACAACCAGTTTTATCAGAACCAGATTTTATCGAACCAGGTTTATCAAAACCAACTTTAACAAAACCAGGTTTATTACAACCAGGTTTATCAGAACCAGGTTTAAAAGAACCAGATTAATCAGATCCAGGTTTAAAAGACCCAGGTTTAACAAAACCATATTTATCAGATCCAGGTTTATCAGAACCAGATTCAACAGAACCAGTTTATGAGAACACCAGAGGCCTACTGCACAAAAGTCAGATTTGTAAATCCAGGATCTGAGCTGTAAGCTGATCTTGAACTAGCCTTCAACTTGTAAACAGCTGTAATCTGTTGATCTAACACCAAGCCACGCTCAGTTAGGGTGGTTCATTAAAACCAGCTGTAAATAATCTGGGATTAATGCACGTTCACAGTTTGTTTACTGGACCCACTGGGTGGATCACAGATTAACTGATCAGACATGAGCAGTAAGACATGTGAGTC